TTTTTATTGTCAAGATATTTTAATTTTTTTAATCTCATTCCAAAATAATACTCTCTATTATTTTTAATTGTTTTAATTCTTTAATTTTATGTAAATTAATTTGATAATTTTATATAATAAATTAATAACAATTGAAAATTTTTTCTTGATCTACATAAAAATATCTAACAAAAACTACATATAGGACAAAAATTTAATTATTAATTATTTATTATATAATTTTTTCTAATTAAATTTTAGTTAAAAATTAAATAAAATTAATTAAATTTGACTAAAAAAATTATTGTGTATTTTTTGACTTCCATATAATAAAAATTTATATGTAATTTGTTTTTTTAGTTATATTATTACTTTATTCTATATATATATATTATTAGGACAAGTGGTTTGGGGAAGAGGGTGGTAAAGAGGATCGAACTCTTATCATAATAAAAAAAGTTTACATTAAACTGTTGGATCATTAAGTTGGCAAGTCTTCTTCAATATTTTATTTTATATTAAATTAGGTTTTTTTAAATATATTAATGTGCTTCTAAAAAAAAGATAAAATAAAATTTCGAATGACTAGTGATTTTCTTCTTTTCATAATTTTTTTTATATAAAAATGAACTGTGATTTTTTAGGTACATAATTGGCATGTGACAGCTTGTATACAAACTAATTGCTAAAATGCCCGAAAAAGAAAGTGAAAAAAAAAAATGGTACCATGATATCATTGCTTTCGGAATTTTCGCAATAATGGGAAACTTGAAAATGTTAAGCAGAATGATTGTTACGCTAACCATAATACTAGTAGTTAAGTTGCGGTGGATGGCTAACTGCCCGATTTTTAAAATTCTTGGTACCCAATCAAGAGTATTCAAAATGCTTAAGTCAAAAATGAGTGCAGAGTTGACATTATGCACATAATAATTCAGGTGGAAAGAGGGATGACTCTGGACATCACGACTATCACATTTCTACCTGTTGTTCTGGACCAAATCATTGCAACTATGGTAGAGTGGAACCAGGAGACTTTGCTTGTCTGGTTAGTGGTAACTTACTATTCTTTAGTTAAATTATAAAAATAGGTATAAATTAAAAAAATTTTATAAGACATTAAAAATAATTAAATTTTAATGTCTAACTTTTTTATATTAACAAATAATCAAGAAATATCTACTCTATAAAAAATAAAAGGTGTATATATTTCTCATTCATCCTTTAGTTTAGTAAAAAATCATCATAATTAAGATTATATTTTAAATTATTGTGAAGTGTTGTAATTATGATTTTGATTTTTTTAGTGTTTTATTATAAAAAAAAGTATATCATTATTTAGTAATTGTTTTGAAAAGAATCTTAAATATTAATATAACCATTGAATTATAGAAAATATTAATTAAAATTAATTTAACTATAAAAAAATAAAATTAATTTAATTATGATAAATTAACACTTTTATAAAGTATTATATAAAAAAAATGATGGAAAATCGCATACCAAACACAACCTGGGACTCTTAATTAGTTATTCCTAACCTCCTAAAAAAGTAAAAATATTTATTAAATTTAGTTTATTTTTATAATTTGATTAAAAAGTAATCAGTGCTACCAATCATGCAAACATGACCTTAGAGGATATCACTTTTTGTTTTCTTCTGTCATTCCTGCGAAGAAGATGGCTTCATTTGATAATTCCTTACAACACAACACCTTATTAAAAAATGTAGTTAATTTTAGAGATTAGTGTGTATTAATCTTAGTTTTTAAATCTAAATATAAATATTTAATAAAATATATTTCTAAATTTTAAATTAAATTTTAATTAAATAATCAACGTAATTTTAGCTTAGAACTCTAATTTATTTTAGAAATTCAGATTAATTTTAATTAATTTTTATATATTTTTGTTACTTTTAATTTAATATTTTATATATTTTTATTAATTTTAATTTAATATTTTATATATTTTAAGATGATAAGATATGAAAAAACCCGCGGGCCGCGGCATAGTAGTAATAAACATAGCATCGGACTTCTAAAAGAAGCCGCCTTTTTTTCTTCTTTTCCTTTTTTCATTTTAACAACTATGGTTGTGGCTTCTTTTTTTTTTTTTCTTCTTCTACTCTAAAAACTTAAAAATATAGTTATATATACAATATATAAAATAGGGACCAATAGATAAGGAGTAGACCCTTAATATTAGAAGGTTTAAACTGTCTAATACTTTTTTTTTTCATATTATAATATAGTTTTCTTGGAAATAACCTTAAGTAGTGTGTCATATTTGATATTTGGATTTAGTTTTGGTTTTTTTGGATGCATCTAATGATAAGTTGGACTATCCCTAAAAGGTACCTGGGCTTGTAGCCTGATTACTGATTGAGAAAGTGCATATTTGTCGGGCTTGTAATCCCTTTTTGTTAGGATGCACTTTCCAGCACTGGGCTCTTCTACTCCCGACACCCCATCCCCAACCACTGTACTAGTTCAGAAAAAAAAAAAAAAACTGTAATTTTATTTGGGCTAAAGCCCAACAAACCCAAGTTGGGGTGACAATGACATGAACACATAAAAAGCTTCATGAACTTTTTTTTTTTTTTTGAAAAGCAAATTTATTAATTGAGTATAATGGGTATTCGAATCAATTCACAATCAGAATAATTCAACTACCAATAGAGGCTTAAATTGAGAGTTACCTCTATTTGATTAATTACTACATAAAGAGGCCTTTGGATTTGAAATCTAGTCAGACATAGAAAATCTCCATTCATTCTCTCTATTCCTTAGCCATTGGTAAGTCTTCATTTGAATGGAATAAAAAATACTACCAACTTCTACTGATATGTTATTAAAAACTCTTTCATTTCTAGCATTCCAGATAATCCATACCACTGAAAACCACACTGATTCCCATCCAGCCTTCATTTTTCTGATACTCATCAACCCATCATGTTGTTCGAAAGCCTCCCACATATTGTTAGCTGTTACAGTTTTCACATTCCACCATTTATAACAACATGACCATACTTGTGAGGAGACTTTACAATGCAAAAACAAATGACTATTTGTCTTCAGAACATTCATCACACAAGGAGCAAATAGTATCCTGAGTTTCTTTTAAAATCCCTCTTTTAAGTAAGTTGACCTTAGTTGACAACCTATCCATAATTAATTACCAGACAAAACCATATATTTTGTGAGGGATTACCGGATTCCATACCCTTTTGTAGATTATTTTATGAGTCGTGTTCTCGTTGCCAACCAGTCTTGTATATCCCGAGCTTGATGAGTATGCTCCACTAGAGTTGAATTTCCACCTCCATGAGTCTCTTTCTCCTTGCTTCAGCATTATATTTTGTAGGATGTTGTCAAGCTCCTTGGCTTTATCTTGTTCCCACGTGTAGAGCTCTCATTTCCATTGAAGGTTCCACTCCCATATTCCTTTCTCCTAGCATCCCATTTGGTTCAGCTTGCTGTCTTTACCTGTAGAGAGCAGATATATAATCTTGGGAATATGTTAGCCAACTCTCCAAATTCACTCCACTTATCCCTCCAAAAGCTCACACTACCACTCTCACCTACAGTAAATTCAAATCCTTCCGATATCCATCTAATTCTATTCTGTTCAGCAGCATCTATTCTACATACATCTTGCCATCATCTCGATCCTTTCCCCTGCCCTCTCTAACCCAATTTTCCCAGTTATCATCTCCACCACCATATTTTTCCTTAATAATTGATAACCATAGACTCTCTTTTCTCTGCCAATTTCCCCCACAATTTACCAAGTAAAGCAAGGTTAAAAGCTTCATGAACTTACAAAATTTAATTTTTTTTTAAAAAAAAAAGAGAAGGAAAAAGAGAGAGAGACAGAAGTCATCTTAGAAATATTCCTCATTATGTATATCCATATGGTAACAACATTAACAAGATGAGAACACAGTCCCGGCCGGGCATGAAAATTAAAGCCATCTAACCGGCCATTTTTTATTTTCTTTGCCATTTATTAATCACATAATAGATTTTTCATGCCCGAATTGACTGTTTTTCCGGTTAGCTCGTACAATAAAACATGTTTCTATAACAAGATATATATATATAATAGTACCATCTAAAGAGATTGTGTATTCCCCTTGATATACCTCGTCAAGACATTTCTATCAATATCAGGGGAATCTTTCCAAACATCAGAATGCAATCTAAGAATTTCCATCGCTTTGTCCTTCAAATATGTTGCACAGTCGTTCTGCAGGAGCATGCAAAGCTTTGCAGCTACTCCAACTTTCAACATTTCTTCAGAAACAATTTTGGTCCTAGAAAACCTCGACATCAACAAAAGGATCAAAATAGCTCGATCATCAGCTACCGCGGAAACTCTCATGATCCTCTTCGTCACTGCCGCAATGCTGCCTTTATGGGCAAGAAACTGCGCCCTCCCATCTGCACAAGAACATAAATGGAACAGTATCCCCAGAACAAGCTCTGTGCTCCTCCTCTCAAGCTGTCCAAGCTCGAGATCGAGAAGGGTTGACACCGCACCGTTTTCAATCATCTTTCTCCTGTTTCTGCTCCACGGACAAACGTGTAATAAAAGGCGCAAAGCAGCTTTCAATCCTTCTTGAGTGACGCCGCCATCCTGTCTCATTAAAGGCATGATCTGCGCAAAGAGTTCTGGTTTAAGTCTTTCAAGAAAACTAGACTTCGAGTTTTCCACGACTGATTTTAGTACCATCACAGCGTGGGATTTAATGGTTAAATGGTTTCTGAATTCACATCCTAATACCCATGTCAGTGATTCGATTATATGATGATTATATTGATCCGAAAAAATGAGTTTAGTTTCTGCTGGTGAAATTCTAATTAGCTGCAGTATGCTCAGAGCTTCCTCCAGACCATCCACTCGACCTTCCTTGAAGCAGGCTATGATAAAGGATATCATTACCTTAGGAACAGCGGCTTCAGCCATGTAAATCCTGGTGATAAAATTCAATAAGTAAAGATATAAAAGTAGAGATGTGAAGTTATAAATGAATAACACAATACTAGCGTGGAATTCACAGAAAATGGTTGACTACAAGTCTTAAATTGTTGAACTTCAATTTGGAAAACTTTGTTCGTCATAGTAACATACTATAATATTTCTTGACTTTAGCAATAAGACATAATGACAAGTGAAAAAAATACTAATGTAAGGTTTGAGCATTTAGCCGCTAGTTGGCTAGAAAGCAAGAGCGATCGAATCCCATCACCCAAATTGTAATTTATAAAAGAAGTGATAAAATTTAGGCATTAAAGACAAAATAAGGAATAACGAGGGAGAAAAATTGAAGTTATGATTACATTAGTGCAAAATTTGAATATTAAATCTTGAATTTAGTTACTTTTTTTCTTTTTTGGTCTAAGCTAGCTACTTGAGTGTCCAAAACAACATTGATCGGTTGAATTATACAAAACTCAATTTTAAAAGTTAGAAAATTGAACTTATACACACCTTTTTCTATTTTGAAATAAAAGCTTTAATTATATTCCATTATAGCTTGTATATAATCTCAAGAACCAATTGTTGGAGTCCTAAGGTCTTAATCAAAATATTAATAATAAAAAATTTTTTGAAGGTTCACATGCAAAGTGTGGAATTACTTAACAATATGTTTGGTTTAAGAGAAGGGAAGGGAAGGGAATGGAGTCCTTTATTTTTTGCTTTAATTCCTTCACTTATTCAAATGAGGGGAGGGGAGGGGACAGAATTGGAGGGAAATGGAAGGATATCATATCATTCCATTCCCTTCCCCTCGTCTCCCCTCCCTTTGGTTTCCCTCAAAGTAAACATATTGTAAGAGTAAAGTGCAAAAATCACACATTGGGACATCGAAAGAAAAAGAGATGAATGAGTAGAATTGGAAGCTCATGAATCTAACAAACATGCCTTTTGATAAAGATGACATCTCCTCATATTTGTTTGTATTCACTCACACTTGTGCTTTTGCTAGCTTGATTAACTCCCTAACATTAATGGTAGATAAATTATCTTTCCTCAAGAAGGAAGTCTCTTCCCTTTTTCTTTTCCTGACAAGTGGGATCACTAGTAAATATTAAAGCACTCTTTTGTTTTTTAGTTGAAAAAAAACAATATTGTTGTTGCTTTTGAGGAATCTCTTAGAGTTAAAAGTCTTTCAAGAGTGGGTTAAATAAAATAATATGTGGTTTGAGAAAATTGTTTAAACTAAAAAAAAAAAAGTATAAAAATGAGATGACATTTAAGTAGTTGCTTTAAGAGACTCCCAATTTGTTGATCTTAATTTTTGATGATCACCAAAATCACGTGTAAAGTAGAAAGTTTGAAAACCAAGTTTTTGAAATCAACAATTTAAATGTAAAGTGTTTACATTTACAATTACAAATACTTGAAAAGAGCTACACTTCCCTTCTCGAATATATTTGATGTCATCTTTAATATATTTCCTTGGATGTATATTGGGCTTCTATATTTGAATATTGCACCCAATAGGTATTTCAAACTCTACGAGATTTAAGGTTTGCATTTATATGAGAGTTTCCTTAGACAAAGATTGTCTAAATCAAGTATTTGAATTTGCTATAAAGTTGCAAAACTTCATATATTGTTTTAGAATATTTTGCTTTTTGACCTTCTCACGAATGCAAGAAGTTCCAGAACATATCAATCAGTTCCAAAACTTTCGATTGAATCTTGAAATCAAATGAAATCAAGAACTTTCCATTCTAAACTATTGGTATAGATTAGGTGATAGGTCATGAGGATTATGGAAATAGGTGCTGTGGGAAAATTATTGTGGAGGTAAAAGGGAGGTGGATTTATTGATATGGAGGGTTTAGATATATATATATATATATATATCTCATATTTGGAAAGACATCATGAGTATTAGTAGGAAAAAAAACTAAGAGATATGCTAGTGAAGGGGTTTAGGTGGGAGGTGGGAGATTGACAATGAGTGGGTTTCTGGAAGGAGAACTGGGTAGACAATAAAACATTAAGGGATGTGTGTCCTAGATTATTTGATATGGCAGTGAATAAGGATGGAAAGATTCAGGAAATAGGGAAGTGGGAGGGAGATTGTTGGAGATGGAGGTTGGATTGGCGAAGGCAGAGATTTGGTAGAGAGGTAAGTGAAAAGGAGGTGTTGTAGGACCTGTTAGGCAATGTGCGTATAAGGAAGGATAGGGATGATAAATGGAAGTGGATACATGATGCAAAAGGACTCTATGTAATCAAGAAAGCTTATGCTTTTTTAGATCCTAGTGAAAGTATTCTTGATGAACATGAGTGTAGGAGGATATGGTGCAAATTTGTTCCTTTAAAAGTTAGTTTTTTTGGTTGGAGATTATGCTTAAATAGACTTGCCACAAAAGGTAATTTACAATGAAGGGGGCTAACTTTACAAAGGGAGGAATTACTATGTGGTTTGTGCAAGGAGCAGATGGAGGAGAGCAGTCATTTATTTTGTATGTGTAGGGAATTGTGCTTGGTCTAGATGCAAGTATTAAAGTGGTGGGGCATGGAGGGGGTGTTGCTAAACACTGTGAAGGGGATGGTTGAATTATTTTTATTTGGCAAGGGAGGAATGAAGGAAAAGAGATGGGTTCCTATATCTTTTATTGGTATCTTGGTATTGGAGGAACAATATGGTGTTTAAAAATGAGAGGAATTTTGGGCAATCAGTGCTAGATGCAGTGCAGGGTAAATCATTTGTATGGATTAAGCACAAGGTGCAAGGGTGTGTCATTTCTTTTTATGATTGGCAATCAAAATTGATTGAATGTGCATTAGCTGTTTGAAGGAATCAAAGTGGTTTAAAACAATTTCAAAAACAACACAAGACAAAAGGGTGAATGCTTAGAAATAAGGGTTGATGTAGCATGTGTTTATGTTTTGCTTTGTTTTGGGTTAAGCCATTGGAATATAGATGTTGTTGGTACTAATATATAGTGTACAGTATATTTAATTATGGATAAGAGTACCCCTTGTACTATATTTCTAATAATAAAATGTATTTTGTTGTTCAAAAAGAACTTTTCATTCTAAATTGTAATGACTAATTTAACTTGGATTTGTGTGCGAGGGTTTGAAAAGATATTCTTGAGAAGACAATAGTAACTGAGTGTAACCCTAGTACAAACTTGAGAGAAAGAGTTCAATTCTTCAAGCTTAGTTCTTTGTGCTTCATCTTTGTTATTGGATCATTTAAGTGATCAATAGTGTTTGTTACTCTTTCAAGAGTGAGAGAGTTTTTGGGAGAATCCTTGTCAGATCTTAAAAACCTTTCTAATAGTGGAATTCGGTTTGAGAGAGATTGTAACAAGGGGATGAGTTGATTTTTGGAGAACATTTGAATGCAAACCTAACTCTCAATTAAGCAATTTGAGAAGTGAACTAAGTACCAATTATAATTGAATCACCATAAATCATTGTGTTGATTTTTCCTACTCTTTTAGGCCAACACAATGTAGATGTCCTACTCTAATCCCGATTGGTAGTTAGATAGAGGTCCTTGCGATAGAGCTTAGGGTCAGTTATATAACACAAGTCGAGCTAAGAGGGGGACTGAGGAGGCCCAAGCTACCCCTAAACTTCTCTAAAATTAGAAGTTTGGTCCCTTAAATTTTATTTTTATGATTCTTTATCTTAAATGATTTTATTATCATTTTAGTTGCTTTTTATTATTGAAGAATACTTTTAAGTGATAATGAGAAAGATGACGAAAATATAGATAATAAGATAACAAAAATAAAAATTAATTGAATGAAAAATTATTTAATATTGTCCTTTCACAAAGTGTTCATTAATAACCTTTTATTTTTCAATTTTTACTATTGCTCTTTTACTCATTATATACGTTCATTTTGTTCTTCAATTGATGGCATTTATATTACTTCATCAATCATTATTAATTTATCATTAAATACTAATAAATTTTGTTTATAATAATCTTTTTTTTTTAATTTCTCCTTTATCAACTTTTCAATTTACACACAACGACATTAATTCTTAGTCAAGTTTTTGTTTTACCTTTAAAAAATATTTCTGATTCTACCAATGTCATAGGGTGTGTAGGCATTTGGTCTTAGGTTGGTAAATCTGGGACAGTTTGCAGGGTGGAGAAAGACGGCAAGCCTAGGCTAATCTGCCTTGTGGTAACTTGGAGATCGTTGACAGGACAGAGCAAGTTATAGAGGCAACTAGAGCAAGATATACCTTCATTTGTTGTGGGTGATTTTGTTGCAGCTCTTTAGCTCTATCTAGTATGTATCTTATTTTATGTGCACTTAAAATTTAGGTTTACCTAGAATGAGTATTAAGGTGATAGGGAGCAGATGTAACCTAGCTTTAGAGCATGTTTAGGTTAGCTTGTAAGAGCTTTTACTTTTTTTTATTGTTCATAAGTAATAAATTTAAATTTTTATTGAACGAAAAATTTAAAATTTACTTTTAGAGATAGGAAAAAATGAGTAAAAAATAAATAAAAAAAAAGTTTATGAAAAGCAAAAATTTAAAGGTTTTGAGCTTTTACTATTTATGATCTTTTTAAAGTTAAAAAAAAGTTTTAAAATGTAAGTTTTTAAGAGGGAAATTTAAACTTATGAAACATGAATAATGTCAAAAAGCTAAAGCACTTAAAAGTTGAATCAAACATGCTTTTAATTAACATTTTTCCTTGAGGCTAGTTGTTTTATACTTCATTGTCTGATTAAGAAGTCTTTGTTGATATATAAAATAGATTGCTCATGTTGAAGTATAAAGTTAATGTGTGAGGGAAGTTGAGAGATGTGCACAAAATCCCACATTAATAAGAAACAAGGTATTAGAGTGTAATATTTGTGTGGAGGCCCATAAACCTGATAAGCATGTCTTTTAGGTTCAATATGGCGGCTCTTCATATTTTTTTCATGCTCTCTTGTGTGCACGCTTGGTAGACTCCCCAACAAGTGGTATTAGAGTTGATGGTGTGATCAATAATCAAAGGACGGATTCAGTCAGAATTGTGAGTTTGGAGAAGTCCATGGTGCGGTAAAGGCTCTGTTGTAGTGATCCCATGGCAAAAATTGAAGATGTGATATTTTTGGTGGTAAAAGACAACTGAAGTCTTCAAGGCCTCACAAGAGAGAGACTTACATGTTCACAAGAGAGAATGTTGGAGTATAGTTCACATGTGAGTAAAGTTAAAAGATGTGCACAATACCTCACATAGATAAAAAAAACAAGGTGTTAAAGTATTGACAAATAAGAGTTAATGACTTGTTTGGTTAGATATCAATTTTATTGAAAAATTGATTGAGAAAATATTATACCAAAGGTTAGTAAGTTCTGTGATTAATAAAGTTTTATTAGAATATTATTGAGATATAAATTTTGTAGTGTTAAGTAAAAAAGTTTAAATAAAAAAGTTGTTAAGTCATATATAAAAAAATATGAAAAGAAAAATTTACAGGTTTAGATTTATATTAAAAAAATAAAAACTAAAAATATTTCTTTTATCCTTTATTATTAAAGTTTCTCGACCAGTTTTCTAGTAATTTTTGAGGAATGTTTCTCGGAAAAATATACCAAACACCTGGTAAGAGTACTAAGAGCTCCACGGTTCCACCTTAACAGCTTAACCATCAGGCAAAAATATCAATATAATTGACTACGAAGTGCTAATTAATTTGATTGATTCTAAAGTTGTGAAATTATTTTGATTAATTTTAATATGAATTATAGTAATTGATTAAAAGTTTAAACGATTCCTTTGACTTCATAATATATTGATTCACAGTGTAAATACCTGTTTCTCTCGTTCTCCGCTGCATACAACTCCAGTTGCCTCAGTGTCTTCATCTGTAACTGAGGATCCTCGAGATCTTTTAAGAGTTTGCGGACGTAAAACCTGTCGAGAGAAGACTTAGGTGTCGGAATCCGGTCAACGCCGAGGGAAGCATTCTCAGTACACCAAGCCTGGATTAACCTCCGCAAGGTGTGGTTTGGGGTTAAGTCGGAGTTTCGGGGCAGGGGCTGCTTGGTGACCGGACAAGTGTTGTTTCTGGTGGTGAACAGCCAGTGTTCGATGCTGTCGCGGTCGTATGTTATGCCGGTGATGACCGTAACAGGGTCTTTCATGATCTGGAGGGATATAGGACAGATGAAGTAATTTGGGACTTCGATTTCATTCATGATTGAAGAAATTAAGGAAATATTGTTGAGAAAACAAAAGAGTAGTCTTGTGTTGGGTTGTGAAGGTAAGAGAATACGGCTGATTTATTCTAAAAATGGGAGAGAATTATGGGAACTTTCCTGGCGAGGATTCGGTGGTCAAAGACTCAAAAGATGGAAAGTTGGGGAGAGTTCTACCCTCGTTAAAGCTACACGTAACGACCAGTCCGATTTATATATATATATATATAAAATAAATTTTTAGTATCTGATAATCATATTGCGTTTCAATTAATTTGAAATCGAATCGTATTTGACCTTATAAGTGAAAGCTTTCCCAACGTCTATTTTTTTATTTATAAAACTCGAATTCGAAATTTTATTTAAAAATAATCAAATTCTTTCTACTCGAATTAATAGATCGTTAGTACCAATATGATTTCTTAGCTTTCTTAAAAATATAATAAATGAGTTTCCTGTCTGGGAAAAATGTTTATGAGATCCGTTTAGTGAAAAATTAGATAAAAAAATATTTTTAAAATTATGTTATTTGATAAATTTTTATTTTTAAAAAAACTAAATAATATATTTTAAAGTAAGAATAATATTATTTTGATTATTTTTAAGATAAGAATAATACTGTTTAATTTTTTTGTAATATTTTATTAAAATAATATAGTTTTAAAATATTTTTCCTCTTAAATTTTGAAAAATCTAGTTAATAAACTCTAATTTCTCCTTATTTTATTGAATTATAAAACAAAAACAAGTTATATAGGGAAACTATCCTTAATATTAAAAAGTACACCTCATTTAATAGTTTTAAATATATTGTGGAGTACATTTCAAACTACATAACATTTTTATTAAAAAAAATACTATATACTAATATATAGTAAGAGTTTCATTTTTTCTGTATGAATTGTAAAAAGAAAAAAAAAACAATTGAAGTAATAAAAAGACTAAAATATTATTTATAAATATTTATCCAGTAAAATTCATTACCACATTAATAATTTCTTTTAAAACAACTTGGAATATAAAAGACTTATTTTTTTAGTAATCCATGTAAAGATACTAGTATTAGCATATATTAAATTGAAAATGCTATAGTTACAATGTTACTTGGCATTGGTATTGTTATGATATTATAAATTTATAATATAATATGTCGTTATATAATTAATTTTTGTTATTTAAATATTTACTAGTAATATTATATACACCCACGTATTTAACACCACATCATACCCAATTTTATATCACATTATAATTGTAAACTTATAATCTTATATATCATTATAATTATAGTATTGTTGTATATTAACGCCATATTTGATTTCGATGAGGTAACAATTTCTTAATTAAATTGTACACGTAAAAATAAGAATAAAATACATTAGATAAGAGGGAATTAAATACTCTTCAACTCTTCTCGAATAATTTACTATGTAGTACTAATTAATACTCCATTTAGCCTAAAATAATTGAGGGTTTTTCTTTTTTTGACATTTTTCACATATTTAAGAATTTGCAAATAATTGATGTATTTATCTTATACCATCCTTAAGAAAATAGATAAACATAAAAAAAATTGATAATGTTATAGTTATAGTTATAATATCACTTAAAATTATAAATTTATAATCATAATATGATATTAACTAAAAGAGAACAATTTTTAATGAAACCACATAATTTTAATATTTGGAACTGTAAAGTTATGGGAGATACAATTCACGAGCTTCCTCATTGAATAAAGAAATATTAGATAAATAGGGTCTTTATATCTGTATCTTAATGGTAAATATTAAGAATATATTTATTGTATTCTTTCTGTTTAAATTTAATAGTTTTAGTTTGACTTTTTGATTTTTTAAAAATAAATTTTAGATAAAAAATTAATAATTTATATCAATAACAATTAAATGTTTTTTCTATATGTTGTTCTTTTTTCAATTATCATTTAGATATTATGTTAACTTTTCATCTAAAATTTATGTTCAAAAATCAAATAGTCAAAATAAAATTATTAATGTTGAATGGAGGTAGTATCCTTTTGCAATTAAGTTTTATTGAAAAATTTAAAAGTAATTTTGATTTTATCAACTATCCAATTAAAAGAATATTTATGGAATTAGTAATAAAAATAAAGTCAACATTTGTATTTTTTTTTATAGAAATTAAATGTTAAAAAAATGTAATTAATATACCTTTATCATATACTTTTAAGGCATATGTTAGACAAAAGATAAATATAATACTCAAGGAGAAGAAAAAAATAAAAGGAAATAATTGTTGGGAGAGTCTAAATAGCCCATTTGAGAGCGTACACATAAGAAAACAAGAACACACATGAAAAGACGCCATATAAAATTTAAAGACATGCTTATCAAGTTCGTAGGGTTTTTACATATATATTGTACTCTAACATCTTATTTCTCTTCAACGCAAAATCTTATACACATCTTTTAACTCCACTCACACGGAATCTTTATACTACAACAATAATTAAGACTCGAGGAGAATTGTTAATGTTACTAAAAACAAACGTTCCATCAAGCCAAAGATGATATTAATTAACGTATCATTGAAGTTTTGATTTTGAACATGAAGTTTGAACATAAACTGCCCTTGCACGGCAGGGTTTTTTTTTTTTTTGGATTACTAGAGTTTTGTGGGGCTAGAGAAGGATTCATAATGGCAATTTTTTTTTAAAAAAAAATGTAAGATCTATAATCTTTTTATATTGGATATATTGGGTATACCCACTATAAAAAGATTAGGGAACATTGCACTTACTCGGCAAAAATTACAAACATGTGTTTTGCCACTTGAATTAGACTTTTATATTGGGTTGAAGGGGAATCCAGCAGGTTTTTAAACGGCTCCGCTTTTGAAAAATAACTTCGTCTTCCTTTTTCTAAATGTTAGAGGTGCTTCATCTAAAATAAATGGAATTATCTTAATTTTTATGTATTTTCACTCTTCCTCCTCACATTTCCCTTTATTAAAAAATATATATTGGGTATCGAGAATAGGGATTGCACTGATTTCCTTTACCCATTGAGTTACACATATTGAATATATATATTTCACAATAAAAAATAATTATTTTTTATTATTTTAACTCATCCTATCTTATATTGTATTATTTAAATTCAAAATTTTTTATTTAAATAACTATTAAATTATTTAGATCAGTATCTAATTTAATTAATATAGTGGTAAGATTAATATCCTCAAACCGGTTTTAAGTTTAAATTCTATCGTGCGCAGATTTAAATCAATCTTATGTTGGTTTTATATAATTTGTATTTGTAATTTTAATCTAATTATGGGTTAACAGCTAAAAAATAATTATACACTAATTCTTTTATAGGAAGGCAAAGAATTTATTGGGTACATCATTAAGAAAAGAGAGAAGATTACTGGACCAATCTCCTCAATAACGCAAAATGCACAACAGTACTGAAGCCTACCCCGTATAGACACTACCAAAATAATAAGAGAACCTTTCCAGAGTGAGATCCATATCACAAAACGTCTATGATAGTCAATAAAGGTGCATACTTATAAAAGGAGGACTCACTTCAATACCAAATCAAATGATTTAAGCTAAAACGACCTATCACTAAATTAACAAGTTTTTAAGTTAGTGACCTAAAATTTAAATTATTAAGGATCAAAAGTGTATTTGTTTTATTGTTTTGAAAACAACCATATTAAATGTTAGCTCTAATTAAACAAATTAAATATTATAAATTACTTTGGTTATTAAATGTCAAATTTCAACAATCATACTAGGTTTAGTATAAGTCTTGATAGTTCTTATACTGGTTTGCACATTAGGGAAGCATTGTTAGGTCAAGATTCAGGTAATAATACTAAAAATCAAATCAAGCTTAACATAAGTCCAGCTTGAAACCTGTAACAAATGTACACCACTTAAAAGTTCAAATCAGACGCGTACATGAGGAAGGAAAGCGTGTGGAATAGCATATCTCATATAAAACATAAAAGGAAAGGTATTATTTAAATATGACATAAACAACTACTCAACCTGTTAATAATTTTAAATTATACTAATCTTATATTGAGGTACGTACAAATGCATTTCTAGATCTTAATACAATAATTTTATCCAGGAACTCATCTTTGAAGAATCGAAAAAGCAGATCTTTTATCTCTTAAGTTGAAGGCAGACCAAAATCATCTGTTAGCAAAACTCCAGTCAACGTCTACAAAAACAGTAGATTCAGAGAATGACGTGCATGGATGGGTGGCTACTTTGTATGTGGCCCCTTTTATGACATTGGAGGTTTACTTGAAAACCAAAATCCTCTGAAGTCAGACTGTCATGGCCAAAAAAATCGGCTGGTCTATCATTTATTACTTTGAACTTCAAATGTTATGATTCCAACTTCCGAGTCAACATATTTCGTCTTTTTCTAGAGGCTACTCCTTTGAACACTCGTGAACCTTAATCTAATAGTAAAACTTTTGACTTTTATTTTCCAGGAATTTTTTTTTATGGGCAGAAAATAAATGTTTTTCGATTGGGGATCAGAAAATTATTTTTTTGACTTGGTATATATACCCATATATATTATACTCTGTTTACTTTATCTATAATTTTTTATTGTAAACAAGGATGAAGAATACCAAATTTTGTGTAAAGGTTTAATAGTTGAAATAATTTTATTATTAATATAAAACGTTTATACACTCTTATAGCAAGGGTTTGAATATTTACTCCTTTCTCTATGCCCTTTTTTCAAGATTAAACAACTTACCATAGTACATCACAAGAAACAAAAAAAAAAAAAAAAAAAAGATCAAAAAGCACCTGAAAATACCAAAAAAAAATAAAAAAAAGAGAAGGAAAAAGAGAGAGAGACAGAAGTCATCTTAGAAATATTCCTCATTATGTATATCCATATGGTAACAACATTAACAAGATGA